CACGCGGAGGCGCTGGGTATAATGATCCTCCCACGCAGTGGAAGGGCTACCTCGCAATTTGGTTGCGAGCACATCGCACCACAACTTCTGACGGGTGGTCGTCATAGAGAGCGTGCGCGTTGCTATCTGCAACCAGCGAGAGACACGGGTTGTGCCATCATACTCGGGAATGTCCGTGGTGCGCACAGGAGGATGTCCACTGTGCTGATGGGGGGGGGAGAGAGATCGAGGCGAGTGCACTGCGGCAGCGTAAGTCGAGGTTGTTGTAGGGGCAGAGGTGGGGGAAGGCTGTGGGTCGTGGCCGCTAGCGGATGGACCAACAGACGAGGAGGCAACGGCCGCGGGCAGCTGTCCCGAAATAGCAAGGTAGGAAGGAAGAGGCTGAGGAGCAGGTCGAGGGAAACGAGCCTGCATCATGGGGACCGAAGGGGTGGTAGAGGAAGAAGGGTGGGCAGCCTGTGATGGGTGAGGCTGTCTCAGAGCGAGAATCTCCGCCTGAGCCTGTGCAATGGTGGCCTGTAAAGTGGCCACGCACTAGGTGCGCGGGGTCAGAGGTGAAGGGGGCGGAGCGGGTCTCCCAATGGGAGGAGGAATCCCAGCCTGGGCGGTACCCTGCTGTGGGGGTGGGGGGACAAAGGCGGGAAGAAGAGGGCGGAGCCGTATTGCCGCGACCGATGCGGGAAGCTGGGAAGCAACACCGGTGTGGGTCGATGAAACTGCTGGGCCTCGAGGCGGTACCTGGACCGCAGCACCTACGGCAGTAGTAGAGACGGTAGGGGCGGCCGTGGCCGGGAGAACTGCCGCAACAGACGGGGTGGTCTGAGCGGCAGCAGCACTCACCACTGCTGCGGGGGAGTGTTGGGCCTGGCCCGTAGAGGAGGGGGAACCACGATGTCTCCGACTCTGGAGTCGTGGGGAGCCGAACTCGGAGCCGGTAGGGGATGGGGTATGAGAGCGGTGGGAAGAGTGATGAGGAGAGCCCTTGAGGCGGTTGACGTCAAGGGCAAGCCCATTGATTTGCGCTTGCAACGGTCCAAGCATACTAAGTTGCGCCTGAATCGCCACGAGGGTGGCATGAAGGTCCATCGTGTCCGCATGGGCCTGACCCTGACCCGCTGGCTGAACGCTCACCTGGGAGGTGGACGGCGCCGCGGTGATCTCCTCAAAGGAACTCCCTTCCATGGTCGGAAGGGAAAGGGAGGTAGAGCTCACGGGGGTGTATGGGGAGAGGGGTCCGCCGATAAGAGGAAAGGGACCGCGGGAGCGGAGTGAGTATGTGTGAGTCGGCTCACCCCGAATTTGGCGGGTCGCGCGTCGAAAGAACGCGCCAAATCGCTCGAGGGGGGAGGAGTCGTTCGGGTCCAGGGTGCTCGACGGGAAAAGGCGGGAGAGTTGGGGGTTTAGAAGAACCCTAAACCCTAGAAAAACCCTAAGAAAACCCTAACCGGAGTTTAAGTGGTTAGGGGAGGGTAGCGGCGACCTAATCAAGAAAAAGATAATATCGAAGGGGGACGGGGGAAAGAAAATAGAATAAACAATAAAATTTCGAGATAAAAATAAAATAAAAGAATAAATAGAAATAAATAAATAAATAAAATGTAAAGAGTGAGGAGAGAGATNAGAATAAATAGAAATAAATAAATAAATAAAATGTAAAGAGTGAGGAGAGAGATAATATTTATTTTTTTGGAATTTTCGGCAGCATCTTCCCACCCCGCATGGGGTCAAAAATGTGCCAAGAGGAAGGAAAGTGCAAGAGGAACACACTAACTTTCAAAATGCCGCAAATTAAAATTTTTAGGAAAATAAATAAGTAAATAAATAAATAAATAAGGAGGTGAAGGAGAGTGAAGAGAAGCTAAGTTTTGGAATTTTTCAAAAATTTCGGCAGCATTTCGTTGCTCCATGGGGTCGAAGTGTGTCGTGAAGAAGAAAGAAAAATAAGAAGATTATGTCAGCACTTCGCTACCCCCAAGGGCTCAAAATGTGCTGAAAAAGACTAAGTATGAAGAAAACAGAAAATTTCGGCAGCACTTCATTACCCTCACGAGATCAAAATGTGTACCAAAAGCAAGAATGGCTAAGTCCTAATCAGATTTTAGGGTGCCGCAGAAAATTTCGAATTTTCAGAATAAATAAAATAAATAAATAATAAATCACAAAATAAGAAAAGAGGTAGGGAATAAGATGATTCAGATTTTTGGAGGAAAAAAAAAAAATTAAATAAAAAAGAAAGAGAAAAAAAGAAAAAAAGAAAAAAAAAATCGAAGTGGGGGGGGAGGGGATGAAAAAGTGATAAAAAAAAAAGAAAAAAATAGATGGGAAAGAGAAAAGATTGAAGTGGTAGGTGAGGGAGATGATGGGGTTGTAGTTGGGGGAAGAAAGGAGGAGAGGAGGGTAAAAGAATGAGAGAGAAAGCTATGGAAAAGGTGAAGAAAAGAGTGAGAGATTAGTATGGGGGAAGAAAGGAGGAGAGGAGGGTAAAAGAATGAGAGAGAAAGCTATGGAAAAGGTGAAGAAAAGAGTGAGAGATTAGTAAAGGAAGGTGAGTGGAGAGAGAGGAGAGAAAAAAATAGTGGGAGATGAGTGAAGAGGGAAGGGTATGAGAGATTAAGGGGAAGGAGAGGAGAGAAGTAGGGAAAAGAAGCAAGGAGAGTGAGGTTGGGAGAGGAGAGAGTAAAAATATGGTAGTGGATGGAGAAAGAGTGAAGGGGATGAGAGATTAGTGGGGAGAAGAGAGAAATGAGAAAAGTGGAGAGAGGAGTGAGAAAAGGTGATGGATGAGTGGTGGTGAGAGAAAAAAGAGGTCAGATGATGAGGGGGAGAGAGGGAAAAGAGAGTGGGAGAGTGGATTAGGGATGAGAGAGGTGATACCCAGCTCTTGGGTAACCAAGAGCATACAACTTCACCAAGATCCACAAGATCTTG